ACTTTTTCATGCGCTGGAATTAAATTTCAAACGGAGAAGACTGCTTTTGAGGATGACTTTAATAGAAATAAACGATTACATTAAACAGCTAGAAATAAATGATTTGATAATCTCAAAAACTTTCCTATATACACCATTTGGAGGGAGTTTATGGAGAACTCCAGAAAAACTCTGTCGAAAGCTTTAGACATGTTAAGAGCAATAGCCAAAGCATCACCGCCTATCTAATACTTGATAAAATCTTTCAGTAACAGCAGTTAGCAAGTCAGCTGTAGAGCGAGAGGATCAAAAACCGTATTGATTATCTGAAAGTAAGTTATTTGACTCATGATGGGATGTGAGAAATTTGTTCATTAGACTCAAAGACCTTGCTAAAAACAGAAAGAAGACTGATTAGGGCAAGAATGTTTTCTGGATTTTTTGAAAATCGGAACAACAGATGCCATTTTCCAGCCAACAGGAAAAAAAGACACAATCAAGCATTTATTTAACATCTTAAATAATGATAAAATTATAATAACAAATGAAAAAGATTCAATATAAAAAAACTAAAACATGAACCTTAAAAAAAATGAAATCTTTATAAAAAATGAAACAAATTTGTAAAAAAAAATTAAAATGACATTTAATTACTCTTTATTGCAAGCATGTTTATTTAATGTTGACACAAACCATGGTTTATAAATATTGACACAAACCATGGTTTTATTACTTCATCTAAAACAATAATTGAAAGAAAAAGCTTTGTTGAAACTTAATTTAAAAAAAATCTAAATTTTATTTTTATTTTATAAATTTATTTGGAGAAGCTTTGCCCATGTAAACCATGAGTCTTGATAAATTTATTTTAAGTAAGAGTTGATGTGAAAAGTACAATTTATAAATTTTTTTATAAAATTTACAGCATTTGGGTTATGTTTGTTGTAATTGTAAAGAAACCTACTGCAACATTTAGATCTGCAAGACCTCTTTCATATATAGATTTTACCTGCCTAAACTTAAACCTCAGTCAATATGTATGTAATGAATCTCCATATACAGAAATATACTAAAAGTAAAAGTACTTAAACTCCACCTATCCCTTTTATGACTATCCACCTATCCCAGTATGAGTATACTTATGCAGACCCAAGTATGCAGTAAATAATATACACAGATACACAAAAATATCTTTGCAAAATATAAAGGAGGGTGCAAGGAGAAAATTACAGTGTGTGGCCAAATTATTTTTCACAGTTACACTGTGAAAATCAAAATATTACCCATTTAAACTATTATATATATTCTTATATTAAATATTTATACTAATACTGGTGTTTCTAGCCTAAATAAGTTTTATTTTAAAAAACATAAACAAACATTTATTACTATTTTTAACCATACATCTAAGAAAATTGAAAATACAAAAACATTTTTAGTATTTTGTTGGTCCACTTTTTGTGGCAACTAATGCCTGTATTTATGTTTATCATTACTGTTATATTTATGTTTATCATTACTGTTATATTTATGTTTATCATTACTGTTATATTTATGTTTATCATTACTGTTATATTTATGTTTACCATTATTGTTATATTTATGTTTATCATTACTGTTATATTTATGTTTCTCATTACTGTTATATTTATGTTTATCATTACTGTTATATTTTATTTATATTTAGCGTGCAATTCTTTGTTTAATTTAAATTCCTGATCATTATGCCAGACATTATTTAGTGACTTAAAAAGACTTTTTTTGTTGGGTAAAGTTTTCTGCTCAACTTTCCGCTTTAAAAGGTTCCAGGTGTTCTTTATTGGGTCAAAGTCTATAGAGTATATATTTATTGCTTCTAAATATTTTTTGCTTCCTCATAACTTTTAACAAACTTAGCTTTATGGCATGGAGCAAAATCATCCATAAAGATGCATTTGGACAGATCAAGAAAGCGATTATGTATCTGAGGAACTAATATTGCAGCTAATATTTTTGATATTGATTCTGGTTTACTCTTAAATTATATTAGGAATGCCTGTGCCTTTGACACGTATAACTGATCACATCATCACCTTTAGAGGATGTTTTACTGTCTCCGAAACACAGTCTAAATTATATTTTTCCTCTTTCCTATGTTTAACAAATGACTTATCTTTAAATTTTGAATAGGGAATAATCTAAAAATCACATCTGAATAAATTAAAATAATAATATAAAAACTCTTATGATATTCTGAATTAGTCAGATTGTTACAACAAACAAGAGAAAAGCACAAAAAAACAGTCACATTTTGTTTTGCCCTCTCAACTATCAATTTTAACAGTTCTATTTGTTTTGCTTTCTCAGCTATCAATTTTAAGTTCACAACAAGAGGTAATCCACTGTTATTCAGGGTGGTAGCCCTTTAATCAAGAAAGTAAACAATATCAGTTAAGGAATGAATTTGAATTTTCTTAAACAGGACAATTGGCCTAAATTGGGTGCCTGTTCACGCTCTCAAACAACTAAAGACATTCATTCACTGGTGTAGCCTGCTTACTAACGCTTTTTTAAACTTTTTAATCGCGCGACAAAACTAGAAACAACAAAAACTAAAATGATGAAAACATCAAAAATCTGAAAACAGAAATAAATAAAGCAGCTGAGTCAAGCAAGTCTCTCAGTGACTGGTCACTTATTGTCAAACAGGGTATACAAAAATAGAAGCCTACGGAACAGCTGATGGTAACAAATGTAGCCATTAATGAGTTAGACGAAAGAAAAAGAAGAACAAAAAATGTCATTATTTATGGAGTAGCCGAATCAACTAGTGATAGCATAGAAATGAAATCAAAAGAAGACAAGTCAAGAATAAATGAAATTTTTAAGCTCATAAATCAAAAGAATGTAATGCCAAAATTTGTCCGACGGCTGAGATCCTCACTTTAACCTCAGAATTGAAAGAAATAAAATGAATCAAGCAAGAACAGACAATGACCCCTTTTGGTATGGCATCCGTGGCAATAAGATCATCAAATTCAAAAAGAAATCAGATCAATAAATTTCTACATAATTCAGTATCAAATTGCAATGAAATTAAAAAGCTGTCATGTTTATATCTAAATGCTATTTCTCTCTAAAACAAGTTAAATGAGTTTAAAGTGGTAATTGAACAATACAAACCAAATGTAATTTCTGTGACTGAGACATGATTTAAAAGTAATTCAGTTGTAAACATTGAAGGTTACCATCTGTATAGAAAAGACAGATCAGACGGACGAAAAGGTGGTGGCGCTTGTTTATATATAGACAACTCATTAAACTCCTATGAACTAAATGATGCTATTATAAATCCCTGTAAAATAGAACAAGTGTGGGCAGTTATTATTTTGGATTTCGCTAGGGCATTTGACAGTGCCCCATAAAAGATTGTTGCTTTAATGTACAGCTTATGGAATATCTGGTCTGACAATACAATGGTTTGAAGCATTTTTAAAAGAAAGAAAACAAAGAGTTGTGATAGGCGAAAATATGTTCTCTTGGGCAGAAATTACCAGTAGTGTGCCACAAGGGTCAGTAATTAGACCACTATTGTTTGTACTATTTATAAACGATTTACCTGAAACTCTAAAAAATCCAACCAAGCTGTATGCAGATGACACAAAAATTTTGAATGAAATGCTTTCCAGTCTCTCAACTCTTTCTTTGCAATCAGATCTTGATTTAGATTTTATGTGGACTCATTACTGAAGCCATTACTGGCTTGTGAAATTTAATATTTCGAAATGTACAGTCATACACTTTTGCCTGGAATAACAAGAAATCAGCCCATTATATCAATTAACAAAAGTTAAACATAACAGAATCTGAAAGTGATCTTGGAGTAATCTTTTTAAGCAATCTGAAATGGAAAAATCATGTAATAAAATGCATAGGCAAAGCCAACCAAATGTTGGGTCAGATTAGAAAATGCTTTGTTTTTTTAGATTTTAGACTGAGAAGACTTTATATTTCTTTTGTACAACCACTGTTAGAGTTTGTAGTACAAGTTTGGTCACCTATTCAAAAGAGAGAAATCGAGTTATTAGAAAGAGTCCAACATCGTGCAACTCGATTAATACCATCAATTAAAAAAATCAGTTATGAGAATCGTCTAAAAGCTCTCAACTTGACTACCTTGACAAAAAAAAGACAACGGGGAGATATGATTCAACCTTTTAAATTCTTCAACGGTTTTAACAATTTGGAAACAATCAAAAAAATTAGTATTCAACAAACTCAAACGAGAGGTCACAGCTTTAAATAAGTCAAAAAAATCACTAAGCAAGCATGTTGTGAAAACTTTTTATTTAATAGATGGGCTAATTTATGGAATAGCTTGCCAAGCAAGTTGGGTAAAGCACACTGTTGCCACAAAACAGCATAAAAAACTAAAATAAATTGATGGAGCAATTAAATAAAAAAGTAAAGGAGCAAGTTAAGCCACAGTAACTCTTGACTGGAATAAATAAACTTTAAAGTTAAAAAATGCTTCTTTAAAATGAGCATTACAGAATATGCCAAACCAAGTAAGTCACTCATCCAAATAACTTTTTGTATCAGTTTAAATCAGTTTTTTTATCGCTGATGATTTCAAATATTTTATAACAATATTAAACAATTTATAACTATAAAAATAAAATCCAATTAATCTAAATTAAAACTACTCAATAGTATAAAATAAACTTCTATATATTTACTAACTTACATGTTTATTGAAAACAACAATGTTTGGTCAGAATGAAGGGGACTGAAGGTATATTTAATCATTTTTATTTTTTATTCATTTAATTTATGAAGGTCAAGGGGGCTATTATTCATAACTTTTTTTATATATACTGAACTGTTATTGTAACTGTGATTACAGTCACTTCCCCCTTTAAAACCAATGATTTTTTAACTCCTTTAGACAGGTCTCTGGGGAAGTCAGAGTACTGATAAATATAAACACAAGCAAATCTAACAAATAAGCCTAAAAATGTGTAAAAAGTAAAAAAATGTACCCTATATTTTTAACAAAATTATCTTTAAGTTCAGGTTTTGTACTCTCAATGTGTTTTATTGTTTGCAAGTAAACAGTTTCAAGTTTAACTCCTAAAAAAAATTAAAATAAATCAAAAATTATGTTTTCTTTATTGCAGAAAAATCATTAAGATTTCATTATTTTTTTATTAATTGCAGAAAAATCATTAAGAATTTAATTATTTTTTAAAAAATATTTTTGTTTTATTTTATCTCTTTTCTCTTTCTATTTTTTAATCAGTTTTAAAAGTTTTATTTTTTGTAATAAAAAAAGATTACCTGGTCTAAGTTTATCAAATATGAAATCAAGTACAGTTAACAGATAATTGTAAAGCTGTTGCTGTTCTTCTGTTGGTTCGACCATTAATGTGCGGACAATGTTTGAACAATAAAATTTATATCGCACACCCAAAGAACATGTGATGACTCCAAAATTTAATTTTTCATCAGAGCTAACTGCACTAAACTTTAAGTTAAAATTGCCACCACTTTGAATAATAGGTGAATAACACATCTCTACCTGCAAATTTTTCAGTTTTAATTTAGCTTTTTAAACTAAACAAAACTTCAAATTAAGAAAAAAAAAGTTATATTTATAACATAAAGAGTAAGACCTGATCACCATCCATGCCAGCTCCTAAAAACTTTTTACCATCTAATGCTTGTTCGATTAAATCAGCAAGCTTAGAGTGTTTTACAACTTTTTCCTCATCAACAATTTTGACAACTTGTTGCTTAAAGAACTTATCAAATAATGTTGAAGTTACATAAGAAGCTTTTTTTATTAAATTAACTTCTGATTCGTCTTTAGGAGCCATCAAATAAGCAAACTGAGAAGATAAGTCAACCTAAAAATTTAAGAAAAAAACCTGAACAAATTGTACTAATGCAAAAAATAAATTGTATGAATTCAAAATATTTTTTTTTACTTCATAGAAAAGGGATGATTGTTTGAAAAGGGCCGATTGACTCAGGTATTCATACATTTATGTTTAAATATTTCGTATATTGAAAAATGACACTATATGTTCAATGTTATTACTTATTAATTATGAAAAAGTAATCATAAATAAAAGTAAAATTACAAACATGATATAAAATATATACAAAATAGATATGATTATAATAACAAAACTATATATAATGATATTGTTAAAATTTAAAACTTAGTAGAAAATTATCTCAAATATAGGAAAATTAAAAATGACATAAACAAATCTGCTGCCTGGCCAATCTTATAACAGTACCTAATCAAAATCAATTTTTAGCATTTTTATCTTGTCTGACATAAAAGGTTTTTCTAAATTGTTATACACTTGCATTACACACAGTGGCATATATTCTGATATATAAATATATACTTTTATAATTCTATTTTTGTCTCTTTTTTTATAATTATATAACTTTTATAATTTATTTTCTAGCATAATTAAAAAGTATTAACTTTTTCAAGTATCAACTTTTAAGAAAAAATTGAAAGTTGAAAGAAATATCCGGAATTCAAGATATATCCGGAAGAAACATAACCCCTGAAATATTCAGTTACCAAAATAAATAGCAACCTTGTCTATAGATCTTCTGGTGTTTTACTCTAATGAATAGTAAATGAAAATTCATTTCATTAATAATTTCACCATTCATTCATTAATATCATGAACACATAGCATATTATAAGTTTAGACCATATTTAAATGAAATTTTGATAAATAAGTCTTCAAATTAGGTTAAGAAATAAAACTAGAAAAATCATTAAAATTTAAGTATTTTCAATGGCTAAAATTAAAACATCTACCAGATGTTGTAAAATTAAAATACTTACATTAACTAAAATTGAATATATCACTTATCTACCAGATGTTCTAACAACCTTATTTTATTGACCATAAAAAAATGCTTAAAACCATAAAAACCATTTTTGAGCAAAAAAAACAAAACAATGTTGAAACTACAACAAAATGCGCAAATAAATATTTTTAGTTCGAGATATTACATATTCATAGTGTGCATTAGTTAGATTTTATCAAAATATAAAATCCATAAGAACAGAAATAGAATGACACTCATTTCTTTATGATTCTCACTCATATTTGCTCATAAAAAAAAAGCTTTGCAATTTTAGAAAATAAATTATAGAAAATAAGTTGTAGAAAATAGAGTTAAAAAAAAAAAACTACTAATATCAAATTAAAAATATTTCTAATATCAAACCTTTGCAAATGATGCAGCATCTAAAGCTTTTTTCCAACTTTCAGCAAATTCACCTGTGAACTTATCTTTTGGAAACACACCCACAGTTTTTCCCTATACAAATTTAAACTTTTTTATTTAAAAAAGACTTTAGCTTAACTATTACCATAAAATGTAGAAATACTTTGAAACTTTTAAAATAAACTTTAAAAATCTTTTTTAACTCTTTAAGTGTTACAAAAACATTTATAAAGCAACATAAGACTTGTTTAACCAATATATATATATATATAT